AGAAGCTATTCACTTGATTCAAACAAGTGAAGGTCTTAATCATCCTTTAAGACCTAACATTATAGAGATACAAAAGTTGATTTTCTCAGATTGGGAGGTTGAGATTCATTACTCTAATCGTGAGGCTTTACAGGTGGCTGATTCTTTAGCTAGAGATGCCCATAATGGGTTTTTTGATTTCTGTATTTTACATGAACCTGTTACTAGATGCATGGCCTATCTTAAGGCTGACAAACTATTTGTAACTCATTAATTAGTTGTACCTCTAGGTCTTCTGACATGTCTTTTAATATATATATATATATATATATTTGTTCTTTCAAATAAATCATAAATTATAAATAATTTCTAATTTTTCAATTCTTTTGGTTGAACCTTTATTTAAATATTAATTTATGCATTATGGACATGGTTACAAAGGAATTTATTTTATAATTTTATATATTATTTAAAATAATAAATTAATTATAAGATTCAATTACAATTAAAATTGATAATTCAGATGAGCCTAACTCAATTTTTGAAAGAATTACTAGAAAGTCCTATTCTAGAAGGCTAAATACACTATAATCTCATAAAATATACAAATGATATTGAAGTTGCAAGTACTTAAATTATAAATAAGTTTTTATATGTAATTACCTAAATGCCCTGGTGTTTTAAAAAGGAAAAAGAGCTGAACGAACACACCCTCAGCTTCTTCGACCTTCATCTTCCTCAAGCTCGCGAAGTCGTCATCTGCACAACAGAAGTATGTCGGGCTACTAAGGTTGAGTCAAATTCGAGACGCCAAGAAGTCCATAAACCGACTCCCATCCTCGAACTTCGTCGTTAACCAAAGGAAGCGGATCAAGGGAGAACATGGAATGAAGTGGCCGTGCCGTGGTGGCGATTGTGGCTGCAGTGGATGGAAATGCTATGGCCACGGAACAGGGAAGGCTCTTGTCGAAGAGAAAATGTTAGTGGTGTGGTGGATATATATGGTGATGAGGCTGCTAGTGAAATAGTTGGTGGTGGCTTACAAAAGAGAATTCAGAGATGGTGGTCGGTGGAAGCTGCAAGTGAATCAAGACTAAAAGAATGGTGGGTTTGAAAGCTTCATGGAAGAAGGAGGAGGTTGAAGAAAAGCTAAAGCTCTTTGCGTTTGGCAATTTTTTCTTTTAATGCAGCTGCCAATTAGGTAATGCGCAGAAAAACTTATTTATAATTTAAGGATTCCAGACTTCAAAATTATTTGTAAATTTCTTGGGACTATAATATATTTAGCCTCTTAGAGCCGGACTTTCTAGTAACTCTCTCGTTTTGTATAGAAAAAAAATATAATAATTAATCTTTACAGTGTTACAGTATTTTATTGTAAGTTTATGTATTTTTTTTAATGTTCCAAGCTCCTATAGCTTTTTGCATATGAAAGTCCATTTACTTTTAAATATCTTTGGAGGGATGATGACATGGTATTAACAATGTTAAATTATCTTGCATATAACTAATAAGGATAAATATTGTATTAGATGTTAAAATGAAGATGAAGTGGCAATCTAATAAAGAAATAAAAAAAGGAAGGCCGAAGGTTTAAACGACAGAAGCACCATGCCCCGAAAGGTAAAAGGCTTGAACCATAGTAACCATAAACTTCTTGACACTAGCCAGCATTGTCGTCGGAATAGCCTTTGTGGGAAAGCGATCATTGACTCATTTATGATTTTAACATGTTAGCATCTCCATTGATACTGTTAGTTACACGTAAGATATCCTAACATAGTGCCACATTATCGCCTCTTTTGAAATATTTAAAAGTAAGGGGATTGACATTGTATATGAGAAAAATTATAAAGATATAAAACATTAAAAAAAATACAAGAATTTATAACAAAATGTATAAAACTATAGGTTGATAGTTGTGTTTTCTTTTTTCTTTTTTATATTAGCATAATTCTAAAAACAACATCTGTTATTTCCTAGTTGGTATCATTTATGGTTGAGATTGCAATAACATTTAATAAGCCTCAAACTCCCAACTTTTATATGCAATAATAGTGGTAGACCTAGAAAAATGAGATTTAAATTTGGTGATTGTACTTAATATAGGCATTAAATACTTGTATCATTTGAATTGCTAAAATTTAGATCAATGATTATAAATTTATACTTTATTTGAGATTAATGAATGTGTGAGTTTATCTAAATTATTAATCTAAATTTTAACAGCTAAGATAGTACAAGCATTTAATGCATGTACTAAGTACAGTCACTAAATTCAAATTCAAAAAAATGAGGTAGTAAGAGTATAATTTATAACTAACAATAGATTTAATACTTTTATAAAAATAATTTTAAATAGTTATTAAATTTTAAATATTAAAAAAGCAAGGCATAAAATAAAAAATTTTATATAGACAACTTTTTATGTATATTAGGATTATGTTTTTTTATTTTTATTAAATAAAATTTATATACCTCCTTTGCATGGAAGAGATTTTTTTATGATAAAATTTTTATAATTTTTTTTTGTAAATTATTACTTCACTATTACCAAACTATTTCTATTTAAGGTTATAAAATTTTGATAATATTTTGGCCTTCCAAGTCGTAAATCTTTTTTAAGGGTAAGTGAATTTGATAAAGAACTAGAATGTTTCCTTCGATGATACTTTTAAGAAAGCTGATAGATACATTAATTGGCTAGCTCACCTCAAGTCACATAATATTTGATAGCATTATTTTTTATAAACCATCTCTGATCTGGGGTGTGGAATTTTGTTAAATTCTGATATCACTGAGTTTAATTTGATCTTTTCCAGCATGAATTTTTCATGGCCTTCACTTTTTTTTTTAAAAAAAAAAGTTGTACTTGGTCATAAAAGGATCATTTCTTTTTCTCTCATTCAATTAGGTTTTTTTTTTAAGTACTACATTGCATCTGTTTTTTAAGAAATACAATAAAAATCCTATAATTAATAGATAACAACATACTTAAATGCATGAGGACAACATGACATGGACGGATAACAGCTAAAATACTTAATCAGAGAGTTACTATTCCGAAGCAAACACGGGAGCACAATAATCTTCAATGTCATCGGTGTAAACTTGTTAATTTTTTTTATAGAAAAAATATGACTTTGAATCCCAATACTTTGTTTGACTTTTGCAATAAATTTTAGAATATTAAAAAATAAAAATGCAAAGACTTAAAGCAATAAAAAAATTGTATGAACTTATAACAAAACTTAAGTAAAATATAAGAACTTAAAGTTATATTTTTTTAAAATAAAATATAAAAGTTATATATTTTTAACTCCTAAAAATTATAAATAACTTTTGTTGTTGCAGGTAAAGAAGTAAGTGATGTATACATTCTTTTAAAATTTGAATATGATTAATTAACGTTGTGTGTTCTTCTTATAAGCACAATGATAAATTACAAAATATTTTTGCTTTTCAAATTGCCAATTTAGTTGAAAATGATGAGATTTAGATAGGAAAAGATTAAATTAGCACATTACCGTGGCATGGAGACACTAGATAATATTCTCATTTTAATTTATATGTAATTTTTTATGTATGTATAGTACAACTACTTCAATTCTTGAATATATAGTTATTATATGATTTACTTATTCTCAATGAGACAATATTGCATATGCACGTAACATTAATTTCATTTAATTTTATTTTTATTTTACATCTTGATGAAAAAAAGTATAAGAATTATTACTAAATTTTGTGAAACAATATCATTAAAATTTTAAAATATCTTGAATGCTATGTATTTAGTCTCTGCCACAAGAGTACTCATTCAAAAGTTAAAAGATTATAGTTGGAAATGCTTTATAAAAAAGTTACTTATTTTTGTAATAGCCAAGTCATTGAAATTCCTAATGTGAATATTTTTTACTTTATACTTTTGGCCCCCTAATTAAAATTTTTGTTCTGCCCTATTGTTCACTATTGATGGAGTGTCTCCAACTCTCAATTTTTCACTAATGAAAGGAGGTAGTTTCTCATAAAATGATGAATTAAGATTTAAACCTTTATTAAAAAATGTGCTCACATTTAATACTTGATGATATCTTCAATAAGATTGTCTTTGATAGAAGAATATTTGTAAGTAAAAGAAAAATTCTCCCAAATTTTCACTTGGACTAAAGGGTCCTCTCTTTTTAACTTCAATCCCTGTCGGTTTGAAGAAAAAATTTTAGGATCAAAGGAAAATGGTTAGTTAAGATTCATTATATCATTAAATTTTAAATTGTAAAATGGTAAATATAATTTTCATTATTTATCTGATTGTCGGCAGGCCTTGAGAAAATATCAATATCAATGTAGTTGGAAAGTTGATATAATATCTGGCTCATCTTATGCACGGAATATTAAAGATGCGGGCACAATTACAGCTAGCAAGTTTAACACCATATACTCCCTCAGTCGGGCATTTGATAATAAAAATTATACATATTAATAAAATGTATTAAATATATTTTATAATTTTTTAAAATAAAAATATAAATTTTTAAAAGTTTCTTTTATTCAATATTAAATTTATAAAAAATATTAAAAAAATACATGATGAAAAAGATATATTAAAAATTATTATTTATAAAATTTTATTTTTATTAAAATATTTTGCATTTTGAGATGTTGAATATCTTTTAAAAATATTTAATAATTTTAAATGGAAGAAGTATTATTTTCAATGGGAATGGGGATGACTTCGACGACCTTAATAAATGAAACAAAATTCCCTCGTTGTCCAGGAGCTTTATATAATAATGAACTATATTCTCTTACCACGACAAAAATAATAAGTAAATAAATAGAGAAAATTCCACAAACCTCACAAGTTGCGAGTCAAATATGATTATGGATGCCCACCATTTCCATTCCAAGTTTCTTTCATGTACACGCCACACTCTCAATTCCTCAACCCTCTCTGAGCTCTGATCATCAACACATGACAACCTCTTCATTCATTCTCAACGTTTAAGCTTCAGCCAAAAATGGAAGGTGAGATTGTCAACTACATCAAGGCGTGGCTTCAAGTCATCCCATCTCTCTCTTACTGTTTTCTCGTCGGCAAGCTTCTTCCTCCTTCTAGACCCTTTCTCAGACTCTTCCTCATGTTCCCTGTCTTCTCTCTCTTCCTTTATCTTCCTCTCAATCTTCACTCTCTTCATCTTGGAGGCACCTTCGCCTTCTTCATTGCCTGGCTCGCTAACTCCAAGCTCTTCCTCTTCGCTTTCAATAAAGGCCCCCTCTCTCTCCCCCCTCTCTCTCTCCCACGCTTCATCGCTCTCGCTTCTCTTCCCATCAAATTCCAACAAACCCCAGAGCCAACAAGCCATAATAATAACGATAACAATCAGAAAGGCCAAAAGTCTCTTGTGAAATACGGCATTAAAGGTTTGGTTCTTGCTGGGATAGTGAGATCCTATGAATACAAACAGCATTTCCACACCAACTTGGTCTTAACCCTCTATAGCATTCACATATATCTGACACTTGAGATCATTCTAGTGGTGTTCGCGGCCGTGAGTCGAACTCTAACTGGGGTCGAGCTAGAGCCACAATTCAATGAGCCTTATCTGTCTTCCTCACCGCAGGATTTCTGGGGACGTAGATGGAACATTATGGCCTCCAGGATTCTACGGCCCACTGTATACGAGCCCGTGTATAGTGTGTGTTTGCATATGATGGGCCGTAAATGGGCCTCCCTTCCGGCCGTGTTCGCTACGTTCTTAGCATCGGGCTTAATTCACGAGCTGATCTTTTATTATCTGGGCCGAGTAAGGCCCACGTGGGAGATCACATGGTTCTTTATCCTTCATGGATTTTGCTTGGTGGTGGAGATCGAGTTGAAGAAGCGGCTTTCGAGGAGGCTGAGGTTGCCTAAAGTGATATTGGGACCGTTGACCGTTGGTTTTGTGTTAGTTACGGCATTTAGGCTGTTCTTCCCTCAGTTTCTTCGGTGTAAGGGAGATGAAAGGGGCCTTCAGGAGTACGTGGCAGCGTTCATGTTTCTGAAGAATGTCACTCGTTCATTGACGCTCGGAGCATCGTGGTCCTTGTAAATCCGATATTTGATACCTCCATTGGAAAAATTATTGTTAGTTTAGACTTTTACTTTTTTTTTCCCCCAAGTCGAAGCCCACAAATAAACAATGCTACCAGCATTTTGAATCATATCAACATATAAAAGATTTCTACAACTAAAACGCAGAGTGGCAAACATATGAACATTTAGGATATCAATAAAAACTTGATGAGTCAACTAATCCGAACATTTATTTGCTTTTTTAAAGATGTAATAAAAAATGATAATTCAATCTCATATAATAAGATTTCTAATTTTGTTGATAATAACAGAAAGTGAGTGATTAATAGATAACTTATTGCATATTAACGAGAGAGCTTTAATAAAGTCAGAGCAAACATTAACTTTGTTAAACTTTTCAACCCAACAAATATTTACTCCTCCCAAAATGCCTATAAGTTCAACTTTCATACTTGGGTGATATTCTAGATATTTGAAGAAAGATTCAATCCAATTGCTTTGGTTGTTTTGAATGTGTTTGGGCAGAATGAGGCCACCACAAAAAATTGTAATGTGAATGTTGACAGAGTCATCTATATCCAATCTAATTCATCCTTCTTTTGGGGAGAGCCATTTAGCTTTTGTTTTATTACCCTTCTGTGTTAAAAAGTCAATTTTAAATTGGAGATCTTGATCATTGAAAATATCTTAAATGTTAATGAAAGTAATGTCTTTGTCATGAATGCCTTTTTCAAAATAGATATTTTTATATCTTTCTTTTCAAATGTTCTAGCACACATGGCAAAAAATAACATGTGTTAATTCATAGCTTTCCTGTGCCAATGTGTCCCAGTACTGAATGACTTAAATTTCTTATACTAGTGTAGTTCTAAAAATAACACGTCCATACATAATGACTAACATTTATGGTTGAGGCCAGAACGATATCAATGAAATTTTACTCCTATATTTATATGAAATAAACCATTGCAAAGTTGGCCAAAAAAAAATAAACAATTGCAAAAGCATTTTTTTAAGAATGTTTTCATTAATTGAATGAAGAACACAATCATTGATTCATATAATTTTATTAAATTTTATTTTTAATTCTTATAATGTTTTTAATATTTTCAATTTTTATAAAAATAAAAAACACTAAAACTCTAAGGATCTAAGTAACAAACATTATTCAATTTTACTGAAATTATAAAAACTGAAAACATTAAAAAAACTATAAAAATTAAAAAAAATTGATAAAATTATAGAAACCAATAACTGTGTTTTCCTCAGTTGAAAATAAAAGTCATAGTCTCGTTTACTTAACAACCAAATGCAACCTAAATCTTTCATGTACTCTTTTAAACTCGAAGGCCTTTCTGGAGTTTGAAGGGAATGAAAGGTAAGGAAGATGAGAGAAAATTTTAATTAGATTTATCAAAAAAGAAAAGAAAATTTTAATTAGTTTAATTTTTTAAAAATATGAATAGGCAGGGTTATAAAATTTAATTGGTAGACGATGTAAGAATAAATGATAAAAAAAATAAAGTAAAACCTTTCAACATCATTTTTCTTAAATTAAACTCATTAAAATTTTTCTCTGCCTTCTCTTCCTTTCATCGCTTTCAAATCAAACAAGGATTTGGTATTACTTTTTCATTAACTCGCTGATTTCAATCTCAGATCAAATATATAGACTTTCGACTTTGAATGATATTTTAGTTTCCTCTCCACCGTCTTTAGTTAGCAGAGGTATTTAGCTTTATATCCATCCACTTAATCTTGTTTCGTTCCAGTTGTATTGAGATGGATTCTTTTAGCCATGAAAAAAACAAAATAGGACATTTCGAGATAAGATGGGAAAGGAATTTGGAATGGGGTAGTATATAAGATCGCCCTTGGTACAGTGACGGATTTAGGGGTAAACAGGGGTGCTTGCCCCCCATGTGAGAAAATTTTTGCAAGTTTTACTTCATTTTTACTAGTAAAAAATGTTAAAATTAATTTTTATTCCCACTATTATGTAATTTTTTATTTTAAATATGATTGTCTTAAAAATTAGTTGTATTAAAATATTTCAATTTTTCAAAATCATGCATGAAAAAAAAATAGGCTTAAACAAGAAGCCCACCAATTTATATTCCTAGCTTTGGGATAAAGAACAGACTAATAACGAATCAAATACATGTCCATCTCTATTATGTAATGGAGCTAAATTTAACTTAAATGATTCAAATTTAAAAATTTTAAATTGTAATTTTTTAAAAATTATTCATTAAATCACAATTTTTTATAATTATTATAAAATTACACTTTTCACAATATATTTAAATAGTTAATTTATAAATATTATAAAAAAATTAAAATTACATTGAATTAGTCAAATTAAATATGTATGATGCAATTCCTTTTTTTTAATTAGTCAGTTCCTGCACAGTGAAGATAAACTCATATATTTGTATGTTATTACTATATACAAAGATTTTCACTTTAAATGTTATATCTTCTTTAAGTCATTTCATATTTTTCCATATATATAATTACAATTATAAATTTAATATATTAATAAGAAGAAAATTTATGAATATAAGAAGAAAAATTGTGAATCATTTATTTTTAATAAAGATAATTTGATAATTTATATAAATTTATTAATGATAAAAAAATTTCTAAAACTTTAAGAGAATTATAATATTTTAAAATATTAAATTATTATTTATATATTTTAGAAAGTTTTATTATCATTTCCTCTTATAACAAATACCTACTTACACGTTGGAGGAAAAAAAAAAAAAAACCATACCACGACATATTATATATAACACCAATATATATGATTCACGTGCAGCGCACCAGGAGGGAGAGAGGAAATGAGAAGTGGGAGGGGGGTACTTGAAAATTGAGATGGTAGGTTATCCTAGGCTAGGTAGAGACTTTTTTTTAAAAAAAAATTATGACCATGGAACTCGATTTAATTGAGGTCAAGTTCTATACTTTCACATTTTAAAAAAATTTGAATCTTAGTCTAATATAAATTGAGTCTCAAATTTATAACATCCTAAAAAATATTTTTAAAAGTATAGTATATGGGTAAGTAATTTTTTTTTTTTGGTAGCATTGAGGTCAAATTGCTCCCTTTTAGTCTCAAGTATTATATATATATATATATATATATATATATCTGTTAAAAATATACACTAAATATACTAATTGTATTAATATAATTTATTCTTATATTTATTATTTTAATAATAAATTATATTAATTATAATTTCAATATTTACAATTCCTATTCAAAATCAAAAGTTCTTGAAATTGATAATTTTAATGATACAAAACAAGTCATATAAGGTAATCGCCTTTTTCTTACAATATATTAATTATATTAATACATGTTATTCACACACATTATAATTTTTATTTATATCTTATTTCTTGCTTTATTTTTAAAAGAGTCATTAGCTTTAAATATCTCAACTAAAGAAAAAGAACAATGACTCAATGTTGTGCTTCATTTGTATGTTGTTGTTGCTCTTCTAACTTGGATGTCATTTATAATTGTTGTCATAATATGTTATGTATTATATATATTTGACTATAATTTATACACTTGTAATTATGATTGATATAATTTAACAATTCATTTTAAATTATTGGTGTGATTTATATATTCATATTGTTTTGATTTCAAATTTAACAAGTTATATGATTTAATATTTTAATGAATGTTGTTATTCAACATTTCTCCTATATTGTTTGTTTTTATTGAGATGATTTAATTTTTAATAAGACGGGATGGCTTTTAAAATAAGACAAGACATATGAAAAAAAATTTAATCTCCATCATTTTTTGAAACAGAATATGTGATAGAGATATTTCGATCTCATCCCGTGAATATTTCTCCTCATAAGTTTGATGATTTTTTCTGATTTACTGTGAACAACGGGCAATTTTTCGTTTCAAACAGAATGAATTAAAAAAAAAAATCAATGGCTTCTTGTCCTCAGATTTCCATTCTTTTTAAAGCTTGGACTATTTGTTTAATAGAATTTGATTTGACAGCAATATTCAATTATCTCAAATATTATATATAACAAATCGAAGTTTCATTATTTATATTGTATTTGACCCGCGTTAAGAAAACATCTGTAGTTGGAAAGTCCACTCTATATAACTCCCTGCCTGCACCCGGAATATTTATAAAGAAAATACCATGCAGCCAGGAGCTTGTTTTTTCTGCATTTAATAGTGTTTTATTTATTGCGTAAAAAACAAATAAGTGTATAAATAAATTTCCACGCGCCTCACACATTTAATTAAAATTCAGGGCGTCGACCATTTCCATTAAATTTTCTCCAGAAATGAATTCCTAATAAGATTCCAATCCTCTCTTTGACTCCGATCATATCTATATATCACAGATATATAGACATGATATAGTGCCTTAATTCTCTATGTTTAAGCTCGAACCAAAAATGGAGCATGAGGTTATGAACTACATCAAGGCATGGCTTCAAGTCATCCCATCTCTGTCGTACTGCTTCCTCGTTGGCAAGCTTCTTCCTCCTTCTAGATCCTTTCTCAGACTCTTCCTCATGTTCCCTGTCTTCTCTCTCTTCCTCTATCTTCCTCTCGTTCTTCACTCTGTTCATCTCGGAGGCACTTTCGCCTTCTTCATTGCTTGGCTCGCTAACTTTAAGCTTTCCTCTTCGCTTTCAATAAAGGCCCTCTCTCTTTTCCTTATCTCTCTCTTTCACGCTTTATCGCTTTTGCTTCTTTCCCTATCAAAATCCACATACCACTGAGACATAACAACAACAACAACAACAACAATCAGAAAGGCCAAAAATCTCTTGTGAATTACGCCATTAAAGGTCTGATTGTTGCTGGGGTTGCGAGATCTTACGAATACAGAGAGCATTTTCACCCCAAGTTGGTATTAACTCTATAGCATTCACATATATCTGACACTTGAGATTGTTCTGGCTCTGTTCGCAGCCATGAGTCGAGCTCTTGTTGGGGTTGACCTGGAGCCACAGTTCAACGAGCCTTACTTGTCTTCCTCATTACAGATTTCTGTGGCCGAAGATGGAACATTATGGCCTCTAAGATTCTAAGGCCCACGGTATACTAGCCAGCGTATGATGCGTGTCTTCGTCTCATGGGCCGAAACTGGGCCTCACTTCCGGCCGTATTCGCACCCTTTTTAGTATCGGGTTTTGTTCATGAGCTCATGTTTTATTACTTGGGCCGAGTGAGGCCTACGTGGGAGATCACTTGGTTCTTCATCCTTCATGGGCTTTGTGTTGTGCTGGAGATAGTGTTGAAGAAGAACTTTTCAGGCAGGTTGAGTTTGCCCAGAGTGATATCGGGACCCTTGACCGTCGGATTTGTGTTGGTTATGGCGTTCTGGCTATTTTTTCCTCAGCTTCTACGGTGCAACGGAGATCAAAGAGCTCTCCAAGAGTACGCCGCAGTGATTGCGTTTCTCAAGAATATCACTCGTTCTTCGGTGTTTAAAGCATCATCATGATCCAACTCTGTTCATTCCAAAATTATTGTTATTTTAGATTTTTCCCTGTCAAGCACCTAATTTTTTTAATGGATATCAAACTACGATAAGATTAAGAATATCAGCCATTCAAGCTAGACTAGCATTGTGCAAACCAAGAACTGGCATGGCAGAGATATTATGGCGGTAAATGTGGTGGTTCGATAGTAAGGTCGGTCTAGAACAGCAATAAACCTTCACTGCAGAACATTAAATAGATCCTTATTATCGATGCTATATACGTGTATAGTCCTCTCAAATGTTTGTCGACAGATCACACATGGGACTGCTAAGTATAACAAGACGGTGCCCCATACCCTTCAATATATATATATATATATATATTATATTCAGGACTCAAGCGCTGTATAAATTAGCAAGCCAATCAAGAAGACCTAACTAAACTACCTTTGGGCTCACATGGAGGTGAAGAAGCAAGCCGTGGTGGTTCAAGCACACGCTGCGGCGTTGGTGATTATGCTGATGTTGGTTTCGCCGGTGCTGGGTTGCTCACCCAACGGCAGGGGATGCAAAGACTGCATTGTGAACCAGATGAAGCAGAGTTGCCCATCCTGCACGCCAATCCTTCACTGCATGGCCCGTTGCTTGTGGGGTGGCACCTCAAGGTCTGTTTGTACCAAGAAATGTGACTGCAATAGTGGCTACCCAACACTCTCTGACTGCAAAAGATGCATGCTAAAGTGCAAGTGTAGCTGTGTGAACTAGAAGCCAAACAACGATATCAAGATATATATACTTCAGCGAGAGGCGGTCCTTCAAATTTTCACAACAATCGTGTGAAATCTAGTATCTATATTACAAACTAAAGATTTGGCTCTAATTTTGCTGCGTTTGATAGTTGAAGAATCTTGCTCTTGTTCGGAATTTCTAGCTTTGTATTACTAATGTAAAATTCAGTTGCTTGCTAATTTGGTTCTAACTGTGTATACATGTTTTTAGTAGTACTAGCCACGAACTATATCGTGATGTTTTGCATATCCATGTCGGTGTCAACAACCGCGCTTCCTAGTTAAAATTGTCCATCCCATCTTCACCAATTTTGGCTTTAAGCTTGCCGAGTCTGATAGTTGAAGGGTCTTGAACTGGTTCTGAATTTCTTTCGGATTTGTCATGATAAGAATTTGCTACGTACTTTCTTTGTTATAGTCACTAGTTCCCATGTTTTCAAGTAAAGGTCATAATCACACAGCGTTAAGGTAGAGGGATACTGAAGTAGATATACAAAGCAGATGGGAAATTTAGGGTTGACGGAGAAACCTTTCAAGGCATCGGAAACCCAAATTCTGAGCAGAAAACCTCTCCATCTCTTCGCCACCTCTCTCCCTACAAACACTTTCTTCCATATCCGCAACAAAATCAGCCCAATTACTCATCAAGCCATTGCGGCCCCACCAATTGTAGGCATCGACCTTGGATTCACAAACAGAGTCCAGTATCTCCTGCAACCCCACAATCCGACGGCTCACTTTTCTTCGAGCCTCCCTCACCGTCGGATTGATCCCAGGAACGGAGTCCAGTCTCAGCAACAGAGCCATCAACGCCTCGTTCATCTTCAACTTCTCCAGCTCGTTGCTCCGAACGGCGTCCACCGTGTCCTGCCGCTGGATCAAGCGCTGTAGGCGGTCAGCCTCAGAATCGACGGCGGCAATTCTTCGATAGAGGACGCGGATTCTGTGGGAGCGATAGGCGGATTGGATCTTGAGGGCGGCGTTGGATGGGGAGAGGCGGGGACGGACAACGGGGACTTGGTTGGAATTGTGGGAATTACGAGGTGTAGAGAGGTCATTGTTGTGGGTGGTGTAGGTGGCGGTGGTGAAGGAGGAATAAGAGGAGAAGAAGACGGGCTTGTGAGAAGGTTTCATGGGGAAAAGGGAGAGTGGGCAGTCAGAGAATGGCGAGAAGAGTGAAGAAGAAGAAAGAAAAGAAAGCGAGACTGAGATTCGACTTTTCGAGAGTGAGTGAAAGAGAGAATTTTTTTTATTGGAAATTTGAAATTGAAAATGGGAAGACAACTTTGCCTTGAATTATTGAATCCTGTTGGCGCGGTGTACGCTGGAGCCATGCACAATCCCTCCCCTGTATGCATGCATCTCCAATGATATCTCGATCGTTAGCTTTGAAATTTTTTATTTTATATTTATTAAAATAAAAAAATTATAAATTTTCTAATAAACTTGATAATCACCCATATGAAAAATCTATATTTAATTTGAATAGCTCAAATTTAATATTAATTTTTTTATATTTTTTTATAAATTGATTGCGCAAATTTATTCTAAACAATTCAGATTTATAACTTTTAAATTAAAATTTTATATTTTTTTTATTTAATAAATATAAAATAAAAACAAAAATAAAAGTCTTTTAATTTCAACTGTCCAAAAAAATATGGATGATCAAGACATCATTAGAGATCCAGAGGAGGCGTAGTGAAAGAAATGTGTAGAGGAGAGAAGCTGACTATGTGTAATCTTTGGTGTTCAGTCATTGAGAATAAATTGTCAATAAAAACTGTCTTAATAATGCAGCACCCTCTTGTAAGAGGTCTTGAGCTTAAATATAAGGTTAACATTTTTATATGCACGTATATGTGTGTATCTCTTTAAGGAAAGAATTAGCTCAAGGGTAAAAAAATTTTAAAAAATTTATGAACAAATTTAGCTAAGTGCATCAGGGAATGAGTGCCTATCCACGTATACACAATTTTTTTTCTTCAAAATTTTAATTTTACCACCTCATTTTGTTAAGCTGACATCTTTGAGACATTGGCATCTTACTCACTATAACCTAGTTTCTAAAGACAACTATGGAAAGGTCTATGGAACAGACCCGTCATGGGATTTCAATAAGTTCGAGGTGCAAAGACCATCATGTCTATCGGATTGGATGCAATCAACATGAATTTACCGTTCACGTTATCCACCAGTTTCCCAAGGGTTGCAATTAGTAAAACCTTCATGCTTATCAATTTTTTCTCATCATCTATGCAAGAATGGATCATTGGGAATGCAAGGAGCAAGGTAAGAAGAGAAGTGACAAGGAATTTACCTTGGCAAAGAATATATGATCAAGCTTACTAGATGTTATGGAAGAACTGATGCAACGAATCCTTTTCCTCTAGTCAGGATGTGAAGTTGGACATCACATTTCTTTATACCCATGCTAGATGCCACTGATCTTGAATAGGTGAGACTTGATCTCAATGGTTTTGTATATCGCACTAGCCAAATTGCTTATAAGGAGCTAATTGGAGACACTGAAAATAGTTAGAGATGTGGATTTGTGAAAAAAAAAATATTATATATATATCAAGCATGATAGTTGAACTTGTGAGCATTTAAGAGAACTCTAAACTTTGTTGAAATCAAAGTTTCAGGAGGGTTATGATGCGCATGAATTTTTTGGAGATTCTTCATAACATCTTAAGCATCCATGATAAAAACCACTCAATCTTCAATATTGTTGATGATATAAGAAAGCTTATGATATAGCATTAGAAATTTACTTATGAACATGTTTGGAGAGAAGACAACACTTGCGCATGCTAAATTTTACCACCTTTGTTGGTATAACATGTACTCAGAGTATAATTGTAAAGGATCTTTTAAAGGATTGCAAAAACTTACTTTTGTTTTGATTTGTAATAGGAGGACAATTAATGCCCTGCCTATTAATCTTATTGGCTCTTCTTTTGGCTAATGCCATTCCTTTGTATTTTAGAAAAAAATGAAAATAGACCATTCTGACAATTCCTCACTTAGTTGGGAAAAGTAATAAGTGCCTAAGAAATTTAGAATTGACTTGAGCATATTGTTGTTGCTGTGATTTGTGAACGCTTTGTATTCACGACTCAATTATCATTAACCTTTTGATTCTTTCTTGAATTTATTAGGAGCTTTATTCATTTTAAACACGTAAAGTTCTTATTATACACACTAGACATAAAACGGCTATACAATTAGGGGCGGAACTAGGATTTTTAAATAGGAGAGCCAAGATCTCAAGACGAAAAGAAAAATCTAACATAACATAAATATTTCAATATCTAGCTAGCTATATTTATATTTATTAATTTTAAAATACAAAACCAAAATAAATATGTATTTTTATTTTTAAAGTTCTATTCATTGATTCTTCATAACATAAAAATTATCAATAATTATTTTTTAAATTTTGTTCGTCGATTTAAAAGAAGATGGTTGGATAAATTACTCCGTAGTTGACATTGTAGATTGTTTAATAATATTTTTAACGCTAAAAATAAATGATATTCTTTCATCATTTATTTCTTTTCTCTTGAAAAATGAATCAATAGTTTTTTCGTAGACATCATTCAATTCTAAAAAAATATAAATTGTAAATCATATCATGTGAAATATCAAAATGAATAAAAAAACATAATATCATAACACAAAGTACACAATATATTAAATAAATAAATATATATATATATAGACATATAAGGAATTGCAAATTATTACATAAATTGCACAATAAAATTATAAACATTGAAAAAGCAAAGTATATTAGAGATTGAAGCGACTCACCTCAACTTTATCCTTATATTCGCTTAATTGGAGGGCCTAAGGTCATGAAATTGAAGCCAAGCTAACTTCTTTGATTCAACAAAAAGGAGGAGAAAACAAAAAGGGGGAACAGCACGCGAACAAAACAACATGAAACAAGACAAACATCAAAAAGGCAAATCACAAAAAAGCAAACCGCATGCACATATCTCATACCTAGTTGGCTTGAATCTGTGAATGGGGCGGCGGCGCTACGCATTCAAAGATCAAACGCAGACCACGAAAACAAAACATGTATCTATTACAATTATATATCCTCAACTAAAATTGGAAACTTTTCTATTTTCTAATAATATATATTATATTATATTTATATATAATACATACTTTTAGATGTTAAAATTTTTCAACTTTGCATATATTAGTTTTATATTTATTAAAAAGAATATGTTTAATATTAAATATATTATATATATATAATATATCTTGGTAGGGTGGAATATATACAACTCTTACATTTTATTAAAAAAAAATTAAAAAGTTAGAGACGGCCTCTTGGTATCCCTATGTACAATCATATAGTGCATAGCCATTATGGGTAACTAATTTTTACCTATTAATTATACTACTTTTAAACTAAATCTGGTACAGCTAAAGGTTGGATTTCTGTTACTAATAATAACTCTAATTAAGGGATTATATTCCCACTTCTCTTGATATTTTGACATCGGCTCCTTGTCTTACATCGCATGCAACTACTCTAAATAAAAGTTAAGAAAAAAAACTATTCTAATTTTTTTCAAATCATTTTTATATTATATCTATCTATATTGTAAAATCCATTGGATCACTGCAGGTCAACAATTGAATGAACTGTGATTTTCTTTCTCTGCCCTTAATATTGCATTCTTGTACTGCAAACTGGGTCAGTATTGGCCTATTGGGGAACAAATATCTACCATTTAAGACAAACAGAAAAACCAGAATCGAAGGGCTTCAAAGCCACAAACAAAAATTTCATCAATAAAATTTAACTCAATATAAACTCAATAAAAAGGAAAAACTAATAAAAAAATAGTAATGAATGAAATTAGGGAAGATTAAAGAAACCTAACAATGAAACTCGAAATTAACCAAAGGAAACAAAAGCAAAATACAATTGCCACAAAAATTAAACCATAATGTACTTTCAAGAATAAAAACGAAAACATACAACAAATAATTTTGCAATGTATCCTCACAATTATGGAAAGAATCGTCTCCTTTGTAATTTGTATCGGATCAGCATTGTAGTTCTACAATATTCGATGCAAATATTTTTTTACTTTTTTAAAATTAAAATTTTTAAAAATTATTTTTTAATAATATAAATTAAAATTAAACTTGTGTTTTATTTTTTAGATTTTTAAAATTTAATTTGTACTCCACTATTTAAAAATATAAGATATTTTTTAAAGAGTTAAAAGTTTGATATTATATGTTAAAAAATGTCAGGCTATTTTGACGTTTAAATTTGTATTAGTATGATTTTTTTTAAAAGTGCTTGCAATAAATAATTTATTTTATATTTGTTTTAAAATAAAATATTCTATTAGATAAGAGTAAATATGGAAAGATGGTGTTAGCTTAAAAATAATTGATTATTTTGTTGGGATAAGATTAGGTTAAAAATACTTTAAATTTTTAAAATAAAATATTAGTAATATTTTTTTTATATTCCAAAATAAATTGTGTGAAAATAAAATAAAGTATAATTTATATTTATATATTTTAATATCTAAAAAATTATAATATTATAATTGGAATAAAAAAATATAAGTAGTACTCCCTCCGTTAAAAGATATAAGGTATTTTTTAAGAAGTTGAATATTAAAAAATGTAAGACATTTTTAATTTTTTGAAGTATAATCATTACTTTTTTTTTAAAAGTGCCCCTATTATAATAACTTTATATTTATTATAGGATGTTTAACAGAAATAAATATAAAAAAATATGGTTAGTTTGAAAGTAGGTAACTACTTTATTGAGGAATGAGATTCAATTAAAAATAACATATTTTTGAACGGAAAGAGTATAAGTTATAAAAAAATTAAAAACTGTAATTATTTTTTCTTTTCTTTTTTTAAAAAATTTATAAAATTTAACTTTCATTCTCCTCTATCATTTTTGTTAAACAGCATAGATTAATGCTCCTTGTGTATCACACAGATATAAAATCTAATTAATAAAAAAAATTCAACAACTTTCTAATTGTTAACTTTATCCAAATTATATATTCATGAAGTTAATTCATCTAATTAAATTAGTGATAATAAAAATGTGAGCATGAATAATCGACAAGCAACTATGTTATTCTTCTTGCTAATGACAATGTAATTTCATTTCACAAAAGAAGAAGGAGAAGAAAATAAAATGAACAGAGCCAGATAAAACAGCCTGGAAACATATAGGACTACATTGAAATTGAAAACAAGTTTAACGATGAAAAAGTATTTTTGACCAAAAATGTGTAAGGGAAAAAAGAGAGATGTAAGTAGCGAATTGCGGAACATTCATGGACAGCTTCATGATTCCAATTCGTCTCAGAAGTTGTCGCAGTATCCAAAATCTCAGCTGAATTAGAAGGCTTTAACCCTAGATGTCCTTCGTTTTCCCCCAATAGGTGATCTTTTGTGTACCTCTTTGATCTCTTAGGAAATCTTTGGTGCATTGACAGATAGAAATGTCGATCGACCTTCTGTTGAAGCCCTCATGTGGCGGGTGTGGATCAACCTCGGATCTCTACGGAAGCAACTGCAAGCACATGACTCTATGCTTGAACTGTGGCAAAAACATGGCTGAGAACAAGGGCAAATGCCACGATTGTGGCGCTACTGTCACTCGCTTGATTCGGGTTGGTCTCCCCCCTTCAAAAAAAAAAAAAAAAAAACTCCCTTCACTTTAGCTGTGGCTGAATTGTTGATTTTCCAAATTCCCGAAAGGGAACGTTTAAGTGGACTTTTGCACCATGTCTATTCTAGAGTCAATGCTTTGATATAGTGATTTTTTTTTTTGGGTGTTTCTAGGAAGCAGAGGGCTAATGATCTTTCTCATGTTGACAGGAATATAATGTTCGTGCAAGTTCTAGCAATGATAAAAACTACTTTATCGGAAGATTTGTTACTGGATTACCCGATTTCTCGAAAAAGAAAAGTGCTGAAAATAAGTGGTCTATACAGAAGGATGGATTGCAGGGCCGCCAACTCACCGATGCTTTGCGGGTAATGAGCCAATCCATGTAGAAGGTGTTGTCAAGTAGAAGGCTTGAGTTGCCAAAGGGATACTTCTGTGGTTATACAGGACAGAAAAGGCATTATATAATTGCCAGTGAATTGTGGGAGATCATAAATTGTCTTCTTTTATTCCCTAATCAAATAAAATTGGTTGGGTACATCTGTTTTCAAATGATAGCTTGCATGACCTGACTGTCCAGTAGAACAGGGCTGGTCACCTTGTTTGTTTTGTTTTGTAAAGGTTCCTTGCACTTGTATTCTTTGACATTTTCTGAATGATATTATTCCTTTCACTTAAAAAAAAGAAAGAAACAAATGAAAAAAAGAAAAGGGCTGGTCATGTAGTTCAGTAGTATGAATTTTCGTTAGATTTTTGTTTTAATTTTTGATGAATTACGCAGGACAAGTTCAAGAATAAGCCTTGGCTCCTGGAGGATGAAACAGGCCAGTCCCAGTACCAGGGTCAACTTGAAGGCGCACAATCAGCTACATATTACCTGCTAATGATGGAAAGGAAGGAATTTGTTGCCATTCCTGCTGGTTCTTGGTATGCTTGTTGTGTTTATAATTGTTTTTGTGGAAGATTTTTCCTGTGTATGCTTTGATTATTTTAGAAGGATTATTATTAGTACCATTTGAATCTTGTCAAAGAATTTAGGCCGATGGGTGATATGAATATTTGTCTTTTTAGGTACAACTTTAACAAAGTTGCGCAGTACAAGCAGCTGACTTTGGAAGAAGCAGAAGAGAAGATGAAGAATAGAAAGAAAACTGCTGATGGCTATGAAAGATGGATGATGAAAGCAGCAAGTAATGGTCCTGCTGTATTTGGTGAACATGGAAGGTTTGAAGACAAGGAAAGTGGTGGTGGTGGAGGAGGAGGAGGAGGAGGAGGAGGAGGGAGAGGACGTAAAAAAGCTAGTGATGATGATGAAGGTCATGTCTCAGATAGGGGAGAAGAGGATGAAGAAGAGGAGGCAGCAAGGAAAAATAGACTTGGACTTAATAAAAGAGGTGGTGATGATGATGAAGAAGGTCCAAGGGGAGGGGACCATGATCTAGATGATGATGATAGCGAGAAGGGTGAGTATAATCTTGTTTGTTCATTGTATTTGCTGATGAGTATGGCTAATTCTTATTACCGATTTCTAGCAAGTTTCATGCTGAAATGATCAATTTGCTATGCAATTCCATGCCACAGTTAATTGTGATAGATTAAATAGATGTGCCATTGCTTAGGCAGAAATGACAATGTAGTAAAGTAAGGGTTGGAGACAATTGGAACTGTTTGTTAATCCATTTTCTTCTGGATTTATTGTTGTGGATCGCATTGCGTAATGGATCTTATATTTTAGAGCATAATTGGTGAACTCAAATTGTCTGTGTAAGTGAAATTTGGTTTTTGAGGTGTCACAGAATTTAGGTTTGGAAGCATTAATTCATGCCTTAGAGAGGGATCTGATAGGCATTAATTCTAGAAGAAATCACATGCAGCTTATAAGTACTACAAGAGTCTAACGGTTTGCTGATTTTGGAGGACAAGATTTTAGTTGAGGCCCTTGTAAAAGAAATTGCCTATTTGCAATGCTTTGTGAATTTCATCATATTATGTTCTATTATGAAATCTTGACTTTGCAGAAATTAAGAATATAGGATGTTTGTTTATATTATATATATGCTATATTGTTCATAATCTGTTGAAAGCCTTGTGAACACTTCAGCAGATCAGTCGATTTATATTTTGTGTTTATTCTTTTTTGATGAATATACTTATACATATGTCATAGGTGATGATTGGGAGCATGAGGAGATTTTCACTGATGATGATGAAGCTGTTGGTAATGATCCTGAGGAAAGAGAAGATTTGGCTCCTGAAGTTCCTGCCCCTCCTGAAATTAAGCAGGTGGTTATTATTTTCTTAGTCAAATGACATTTTGACTGAGAAATTTATGTTCTAATTGTGTAGTCAATATTTTGCATGGTAATTTTGGTACCATGTCTTTAGCTACATCTATAATTGGATTTCAGGTTTTCTTTTTTGGTCATCCTTTAGAAGCTATATTCACAGCAGATGCAAGTAGTTTTTGTAGCGAGCAGATAATCACAACAAAAATGTATATTTGGAAGTAGTTTTTTTTGGTGGAAAAAATTAGAGGTGATGCAAGCACCTGTTTAAGAAGAACTCATCCAAACATATTTTTGTTGAGCAGACTATTTAGTAATTCAATTGTCGTAAAAGAAGTGATTCAACTGTAACTTTTGAATTAGGCCAAAAACAATTGTATGTTTGAAAATTGTCCTTGAAGCTTGGACAATGACGTAACAAATATAACATATCTAAAATCTGTTTGGAGTGTTGCTTTATATGATTTTAGTACTCAAACATGTCAGGCATATGCATGCTCTGATGGCGCTTGTGCTTGATAGGAAATTGCCCTTGCTAGATTTTCTTTCTTTCTTTCTTTCTTTCTTTTTTGGGTGTTACTGTAGTTTCACAAATACTTTATTTCCTACTTGCATGCATTTATGCTGTCTTTTTGTTAATACTAGCCAGTTGTTGAAACTGAAGTCCATGACATGCTCCTTGAAGTATGATAGCTTATAAAAGCTTTGAAAGTGCCTCCCTGAATAGTGATGATTATTGTCCAAAAAATGAAGAGGATTCATGTCTTCCTTATATGAGTTATTTTGTGGCTTGTGATCTCAGGATGATGATGATGAGGATGAAGAGAATGAAGAAGAGGGAGGTTTGAGTAAATCTGGGAAGGAGCTGAAGAAGTTGCTTGGCCGAGCTTGTGGTCTGAATGAATCTGAAGCTGAGGATGACGACGACGACGACGACGTATGGACTGTGTGTTTCCTTTTCTCTTTCAACTTATTCCTCTTTTTCTTTGATGCGTTGGGGAACTAAAAACATCATGGGTTAGCAAGGCTTTGTGCATAGTGCAAGACCTGTTTAGTTATCAATTGATTTTGCATTTGTCATGGACCTCTGACTTCTCAGAAAAGAGAAGTGGGAGTGGCTGATTCAATTGATTGGGTTTCATTGTGACTCCCTAAACTGCTGCAAATGATTATTAACTCTAAGATGATCTTTTTCGTCACTTAATGGGTCAGTTTGGTTTGTTTAGATGGATGATGAGCTTCCACCTGTGGTTGCTCCAAAGCAGAAGGATGTTCCTAAGGAAGAACCTGCTGACAACAGCCCTTTGAAGCCTGCACCATCTGCACCTGCTCGAGGAACTCCATCAACTTCGAAGACTTCAAAGGGAAAGAGAAAATTAAATGAAGAAACAAAAACGCCTGTGGCGCCACCAAAGAAGGTGAAGACAGAAAATGTACGTTACTACTTGCATGAGCTTGTTTTTAATGGAGCCTTTTACTTCTTTCTTTTTGAGGAGGAGTGTGCTTATTTGGTAATTTCTAGATGCTTGGATAACTCTTAAAAATGTATAATTGATTGAACATGTGTTTGTTGCCTAGATAGTGAAATGACACTCTTGCAAAATTATTAATGGCTGAGTTCAGAGGCTGCTTTATACAAAATGGACAAAAATTCTTCTAATTGAACTCTAGCATTTTCTTATTGATGCTCCAAATGCAATATGGCTTCTATACTTTCAATTGGAAGTTTTCTGTGAGGCCTGTGTTGTCAAAGCATTTATTTTCAAATATTACTTGAACAAATTGTCTTTCAGTTGATATTGAAATTTGAAAGTCCTAATTGTCTCATTGAATGAATCAGGAGCTAAAATCATCTGTCAAAGATGAGAACGGGTCTGCACCCAAAAGTAATGCACAACCAAAAGGTACACCACCAACTTCATCAAAAGCAGGGTCATCTGCCACTACAGCTTCTGGACCTGTGAGCGAAGAAGAAATCAGGGCTGTTTTAATGCAGAAGACTCCAGTGACCACACAGGATCTTGTCGCTAAATTTAAGGCTAGACTGAGATCTTCAGAGGTAAGGCTCTGCCAAAAGATTTTGCTTTATCCTCTATTATACCGGATGCCTTGATTTTCCTGTAATATTTATTCTGATCTCACTGTCACAGTGTTTCTTCTTTTCCTGCCTTTTTTATTTTTTAACCCATTTTTTTAATTCATATTTGATTAGACTTTGATATATAAAATTTTACAGATGCATTGCTGTTATTTATGAGACTTGTTTCATGCGTTATATTTTGTATCTGTTTTCCAACTTGTTAACAATATGCTGACTGTCAATAATGTTATGGTCGTTTAGGGAAGGAGTGCCTTGTTTAATTCGATGGATATGTGAATCGTGTTTCATGTAAAGATAAGAATGCAAAATTTGATGTCCTGTTGAACATGGTTAAGGTCGCCCAAGGACTATAATAATGCCAGTTAAAGATACCGTCATGCCATGTCGGCATGTCCTGCCAAGGTTGAAATCCCACCTTGTGTTTCTTTGCTATTTGCAGGATAAACAAGCTTTTGCTGAGATCTTGAAGAGGATCTCCAAGATACAGAAGACTAACGGATCCAGTTATGTTATATTGAGAGATAGGTGACTGATTGATTGATTGGAGGTGCCGGATGAAGCAGATCAGATGTGTGGGAAACTTTACTCTTTCCATGTTTCTATTTGTTTTTTTCTTATACAGAATACAAAGAAAAGGAAAAGAAGAAAAAGACAATGCTTCCTGGAAATTTTTCCCCCACCCTTTCTGCGCCATGAAATGCTATATTGTATCTCACTGCTTGTGTTTTAAAGTTCTGACGATGACCAATAACAGTGTACAACTCTGAAGTTCTATGGTTTTCTCCTCTTCTTCCCCCAACCCCATAAAAAAAAATAAAAAATTAGAAAAGGACTAGTAAGATATTGTAACAACCACCAGACTCCCTTGGTTTTTTGGTAGAATTATAACAATCATCCTTGGTTCAATAGTTGTATGTCAAGAAGAATCTATGATTTGATGTTTCGTAAGTGTACATTCAAGGTATTTCGTGCCATTCAATGAGGCTTCGATGCCTAAGATGCTTCCATTTTAGTTGTCTCATGTGTCATGTCATTCGAGAAAAGTAGAATAATCCTGTCATCTTTGGCAATACTAATTGGTTACTGTATTTTTTCCCTCGCACAACTTTCCGTTGTCAGATAAGGAATTTCGAACATTACTGTAATGCATTGTGATTATGTATTTTAATGACTGAGATGTTCATTTAAGACATGTTATCATACTATCTTTGATATTGGTAAAAATGTCACTCAATGTTTTGACAAAAAACATTTTAGCATGTATTTTGTAATGAGCACGAATCTAAAAAGGAGTTGAACGTGTGCACCGGACAGAATTTGGAACAGAATTGTGCTGTGTATCGTCCTGAAAAGGGTTTGGGACTGGGGTCTAAAACACAAACAAATTAATATAATATAATAAAATTAATGTGTGCGTGTGTGTGTGTCAACGCGGAAATTAGCAAACTTTGAAGAGTCTACTTTAAAAAGTCTGATTTTTGAATAAGAGAGCACCTTAAACTTCGAAGAAGAAAAAGAAATTCAAAGAGGGAGCCTGAATTTAAGATACTAACACGTTGGGTGAGAAAGTCTTTCACTTCTAAATTTTACTTTACTCGTGAGGCTTCTCAAGGTGGGGCTTGTAGTATATTCATCTGTTAGTAACAGCAAGCAAACGAAAACTTAAATTTAGGTTATAATTTTTAACATGAACTATGTATTCCAATCATGCAGTTATATATTCATTTCTTCCGCACCAGCATTTCCTTTCATCTCTCTCTATTTGTGCGGCCTGCGAGACCTTGTTCTCTTAATATTCAATTCCCTGACGCCCATGACATTGCAAACCATTTAACATTAGACGTTTGAACACTGGAACTTGTCGCGAACCAAAATTGATTCACTCTGCAACATAGCTAAGCGTCTTAGAGCATAGTAGATATATAAGTACCCGCTTTTTTTTTTTTGGGGGGGGGGGACTGGGAAAACAAATTAATTAAAACAAATAGAAACTGATACGTATCCCGAAAGGGAATTACGTTACATCTGGGCGAGATACATACATACATATATACATATATATATATATATATATATATATTATATTATATTATATACTGCCTTCTAAAGCCTAAGAAAAATACGCGATTGGTTACTGACGGAGTGAGAATATGAACAAGAAAATAAGAAAAATAATAATAAAACACGCACAAACAGAGTATGAGAATGAGAAGAATTTGGATTATCTTGAATTATATTGAAGTTGGTATAAAAAGTATTGTGATATAAGAAGTAACAAAATGTGTAGTTAAATTTTGTCATTCATTTTTAACAGATACTTCTCAAGCTCTATATTTTAAAGGACATATATCAGGATGACCGATTTCAGATTCATGCATTGACGGTGACTGGTCTTACTGGGAGTTGCTCTCCAAAGACCTTGTTATTGAAGTAAATCAGCAAGGTAATATTAGTAGTAATAGAAACATAAACATCTAATTTCACAAATCACATTCATAAAATGCAGAGCTTGGCAACTTATCATTTGCCCAGAGGAACATAATAACCAGGACCAAATCCCCCAAGTTTAACATATGCATACAACATATCTTATATCCCAGAACGACGTCATACTAGATTGAAAGCCTTGTTGATTCTTAATAAAAGAACCAAATGAAATATCCCTGTGCTTAAGCACAATGAAACATGATGGAGACGCAAAACATGAGAATCGTGATGGAAATAGGGGAGACCCTATTATGAGGGGGTGAAGCAGAAGGTGTAGATGGCCCTTCAGCTCCAACTTTTGTAGCAGCAACGGCATCAAATTCTGCAGAAGAAGAAGACGACGACGACGAAGGGTTCATCATGGGCTGAACCTGTACATGGAGCTTGAGGCCATTATTGCAGTGCTGGGGCTCAGTGCTGAGGAAGTACCTGATCCCTTCTTTCTCCAGCGGGATCGCATGTAGACCGTCCGTATACATGTTAATGGGGTTTCCCGAATCGCACGACTCGTATTCTTCCTTGCTTTTCACCTCCGCAATTACACCCTCCGTCGCGGAGTAGGAGAACCCTTCCCATTTCAAACGCCACATAAATTTGGATTATGATATAATAATTAAAATTAACATGTATAGTTTGTATACACACTCACGCAGAAATTTATAGTATCATTGCAATATAAGTAATGTTGGTGTGATTCTTTCTTACAGATTTCGTCGCCGACTCTGAAGGTTCTAGCTGAAGACCAGGCCGAGAGGTCAGAAGATGGGTCCCATCCGCGGTCTCCTCCAACGACGTGGTGGACATTGGCGGCTCCGGCAACCACTGCCGTTGCAGAGATTACAAGCAGAGAAAAAAGAAATGCTTGTGTGAAGTTGGGCATAGCCATATTCAACGATCTGGAAGAAGAGAAAGCAAAGGAAAGTACAGAAAGAAGAGTAAGTGAACAATCCGTCATGGCGAAGCCAATTTTCAACAATACTGAGACGACTATTAGGTGTGCGGGAAGCCCGCCAAAGAGTGGCATTATTGGAGCTTCTAAAACAGTTCCAGCGATGATATGGCAAATACTGAATAAATATTCGGACTTAAATTCTTAATTTGTTGGGATGGATGAGTTATGTAGTTTTTCTTCTATCATATTTTTTCTCATTTCATTTTGTAAAAAAGAATTTTTTTTTTTTTTTTAAAAGATAAATTTTTTGAAGTTTAGAATTCTAAATATGGCTTATTTTTTAAAATCCATACTCTTTTAATATGAAAAATCTGTACTTTTAAATATGGGTAAATTTGGGAAATTATTTCATTTGTAAATCAACTTAATGATTTTACTAACAATCATGACTTTTGATGAAGTAATTACAAGTGCCTAGCCATATATCCAGGGTTAGAAGAACACTACTCTTTTCATTCAATATTATATTTTCAATTACTCTTATCATATTAAAAATAGAAGATATTTTGAGTTCTTAAAATGTAATTAATAAAGATTTTTAAAAAAGTATCCTTAATTAGAAGTGTAGTAAATAAAATTTTTTAATTAAGAGAATGATTGTGAATATTGGACGGAGGAGGAGTTGAGGAGTAATTGCTTTAATAATGTAAAATTTCTTTCATTATTGCTCGATTAACTCCAAATTTCAAGTAATTAAGAGATTATTTTAAAGTGAGAGCAACGAATTTGTCAAATTATTCAATGAAATTCTAAGATTTCAAAATTTAAAATACTCTCATATACTTTTAATATATTCAAATTAGAGTTTAAATTATGCACGGAAGCATGGAAAATAAAGAAAAAGTCAAAATATTTGCATAAAAACTCAATATAATGAATTGTGTATAAAACTGCACGTGCGTTGTGGCTAATTGCTCTTGCACCACAACGTACATATTTTTGTGCCATGCGCCATGGTGTATTGAACGGTTTTGACACCAAATTTTGTTATCAAATGATAACACCCGAGACGAACTTTTAATGCATTCCATTTCTTTGTTCAACGTCCAATTAAGATAATTTTGGTGTCAATAGAGAGATTTCTTTCAAATCTAACTGATGGCATAAGTTTCACGATTAAAAGATTTTTCAATCAAATGTTGGATACTCAATATCAATATCACTTCTTGTTCATATTAACTCACATTTAGAGTGCCCAAACTTTAACAAATGTGTCAAAAGCCTACACCAACACTTAGATCACAATCAATGAATCATTTAGGACTCATGCAACACACCATAACCCAAACAACATGTATATATCATAAATTCAACCATCAACCCTTCAACTAAAAAAAAAAAAACGCAAAGGAGAGGTAACTTTGCATTAAGTCATGAATATTCATTTAAACAACCAAAATATAGTTCACTCTACTTGTACTAGTATTTCGGCCCTATACAAACCTTACAACCACATATCAGCAATTCAAAGCACGAAATACACATAGTATTTTCATTTATAATGCAAGTAGCTAAAAATAATGGTAAGAGTCTTAGTTGGCAAATTAACCATCAAAATACACATAAATAAAACTATGAGGCCTAGAAATAAGATTTATTTAGAATCTTATGCCTCTGGTCATTTTTCCCCCTCCTGATTCAATAAGTTAGGTCCTGAAAATATTGAAGAATGAGGGATGAGTGCAACCATTTAGTAACTAAAATCAATCTAATCTATACAGTTGCATATCAATTAAAAATAGATGCAAATGGCAATAAATACAAATCTCATACACATATAGCAATTATAGCATCGACCACAACAATAACAATCATGTGACCGAGCATGCAACTCGCATCATCATATATTACCATTATGCACATCTTGGGGTTGCAAAAATAATAATTATGTGCCTCTAAAACATGTCAGACCATAATAATAACAACCATGTGGTTGGAACTATAAATGCATTATCAATACCAACCTTATACCTTCTTGATACCTCCGACATGAAATCGATAGCTATTAGGTGACTACTCTACAATTCAAACTAACACGTCCTTCCACTTATGAAGAGCTAGCAGGCCAAAATTAACTCATTCACTTGTATACTGATGTTTCCTCCAATACTAACAATCATGGAGTTTTATACCTCTAATCTAGCCTCCTCATCAATTGATAGAGATTAGTTTGGTTTAAATCTCTCGAAGAACAAGTGGGATAGTCTCGAATCAAGCATAAGATAATGGCTGCCTTCCATTTCCAGCAGTCGGTGCTAAAGCACGTTTTCGATTCCAACGACAAGCCACCATTACCACGTGGATTTACTAGGTGAATGGTTTTGTTTCATAGCTACTTTTCTTTCACATCAACTATCCTCTTCAGTTCAATCCAGTAAGTCAAATTCTCCCACAACTTCACCTCTTTAGGATCAATTATGTAAGACAAGTCAAGTTGGTACTTCTTGAGTTGTGAGATGTGAAACATGTCATATACACCTGATAGATGCAGGGGTAAGGCGATCCGGTATGCTAAAAGCTCAATCCTTTCTAGAATCTCAAACAGCCCAATAAATTTACGAGTCAATTTCTTAGCTTGTATAGATCTCCCAATTCCAATCATAGGTGAAACCTTTAAGAAAACATGATTGCCAACCATAAACTCTAATGACCTTCTCTTTTTATCTGTATAGCTCTTTTGCCTACTCTGGGCAATCAACAACTTCTATCGAATCATATTAACCTTTTATATGGTTTTATCCATCAAATCTAGAACCAAAATATTCCTCTCACTTAGTTCAGTCTAACATAGTAATGATTGGCACTTCCAATCATACAAAGCTTCATAAGGAGCCATTTGAATGCTCACATGAAAACTATTATTGTAATTAAACACTGCAAGTGATAAGTATTTATCCCAACTTCCACTGAGTTCAATAGCATAAGCGCGTCACATATCCTTGAGAGTTTGAATTGTCCTTTCGATTTATCCATCGGTCTGAGGGTGATAGGTCGTACTAAACTTTAACTTTATACCTATAACTTGGTGTAAAGCTCTCTAAAAGTTTGATGTGAACATCAAATCGTGATATGATATAATCTCCTTTGGTACCCCATGTAACTATACAATCTCCTGGATATAAACTTCAACAAACCTCTCCAAGGTGTACTTTGCTCTAACAACTAAGAAATGAGCAAACTTAGTCAATTTATCAACAATCATCTATATTGTATCATGATTTTCTTGAGTATGTCTCAATCCTATTGTGAAGTCATCAATCTTATTGTAAAGTCCATTAACACACTATCTCATTTTCACATCGAGATCTCTAATGGTTGTAACAACCCAAGTGACTTTTAGTGTTCTATCTTAACTTTCTAACATGTCAAGCACTTATAGACAAATTCAGTCACATCTCTTTCCATTTCATGCCACTACCATTGCTTCTGTATATCTTGGTACATCTTAACAACACCAGGGTGGATAGTGAGCTTACTCCTGTGAACCTTTGATAGGATAATCTCCCTAATTTCTTTGTCATCTAAAACACACATTCTATCATGGTACAACATGAACCTATTATCATTACAGCCAAAAGTCATTGTCTAGTTCTCCTTAATGTATTTCCAGATCTATAACAGGTATTCATCTTCTAATTGTTAGTTTTTTGTTTGATTATTAAAAGATGCAAACCTTCATACTCCTTTCAGGATGTAATAAAAGATGTTTATTTTCTGTTTCACAAGGATTAGAGCATACTCATTCATTATGCTAGTATATGCTTTAATACCTATTCTGATCACCTTGTTAAGATCTCTCATAAATTCAATGATAGCTTTTGTATCTTTGATCATCCATTACCTTTATCACACAAGGCCATAGATGATGAGAGTGGTTCAATAAGTCATACATTGTTGATATGATCTCAATTTAATTATGAATGCATTTCTTTAGTAAAAAAAAAGGTGATGATAAAGCGAAGCATGACAACTTACAAACACTCAACAAGGCAAAGTGATAAAACTTCTGCATGGGGAGAGATCGAGAAAGAAATGCCTTTAAGCACTCACGCATGGGACTCACTTATATAAAATCTAGGGTAAATGGGTAAAAATACCCACAAAGTGGTTAGTTAGAGGCACTCAGTATTCTAAAGGGAGGAAAAAAGTAAAAATACCTATAACGTTATGTGAATGGGTACAAAAGTGATCAAACAATTAACGTTAACCTAACATTATTAACTTTGAATGTTAAATGCTAACTGTGCATGCCACGTGTTAGTCTTTACTGATAGGACTAATGAAGAGACAAAAATACTCATGAAATCGTCTGTAAGGAGCAAAAATACCCATAATGTTACCAGAGTTAATTCAAAAGTAATCAATCCATCAAATCCTTTAAATGTTAACTGTTTAACTGATACCTAAATAGAAGTTGACTATTTTTTTATTGATGTAGACAAAAAATATTTCATGATGAATTTTTAAGGATGTTGATAGATCATCATATAAATACCCATAATGTTACTTTAGTAGATACAACAGTGACCAATTTGTCAAAATTCATGCCATATAATTTCTTTCCATTGTCACATATCTCGCCTCCTTCCTTTCTCCTTCTCCACTCATTTTTCTTATCTGCAAAACTTGAGATTTAACATAGTGAGATAAGTTATATGCAATTGATGATCAAGACTGAGCACACTCCCTACCTTGCCCTACCTTAAGAACATTGTCATAACATTAAGCAATTTCATAAATGATAAGTTCAAAATTTTTAAATGGTTTTCGCCATTGCTATAAAGAAACAAGTGATTTAATTTGATATTCGATCAAAAACACATTTTCTCACATAATATTCATACAAAGACCAATTAGCTTCTAGAGAATTTCATTTGGAAATATTTTTTGTCCATATCAGTGAAAAATAGTCAACTTTTGATTAGTTATAAGCTAAAAGGTCTATATTTAAGGGATTTATTACATTGGTCACTTTTGCACTACATTTAAGAGATTTATTACATTGGTCACTTTTACACTAACTCTATAGATATTTTTACAACGACTTCCGAAGTATTTTTG